TATTATTATTATTATTATTATTATTATTATTATTATTATGGACATCTGCCCTGGCAGATCTGTGGTCCTCATCTGTTCTTCTGACAAGTTTCTGTCATCTGGGAAAGTCCAAAATGGGGAAAGCACAAGTTTAGCATGACAGTGTTAAGTGGATATCCCGTAAAAAGTGAGCAAACAGTGTCACACTCAATGCTGGTTGTGACAGAGCCCTGAAAGTGTCACATGGTGGGTTCAATTTGCCCATTTCATAACAGCTGTCTTGGTCTTGCAAAACAAAAGTCAAGGCCCAAGAGACAATCTGGCCCCTGTCAGTCTATCCAGGGAAACAGCCTTCTCCTCTAATCTGAATAATTTCAATTACTCAAGCACTTGATATTTACTGTTTGGGGCCAGTAAACCATTTCATCCGCTTGTTCTTGTTGCGTATACAGTAGTTCAGATTGTGCTCATCAAAGGCAGAAGAGCGCTGCCTCCTCAAAGGACACACAACCCGGACTGTGTGACACACACACCCCTTCTCCTCTTGGCACACTGTGTGCTCTCAGCCAGGCCTGGCTGTGTTTGCACATTGCAAGGAGCCAGCATGGCTGGCACAGCTGTGTCCACTTGGGAGCAAGCGGGGGGGGGTCCTTTCTGCCCAGCCACTCTTCCCCAGTTGTGAGGGGAAGAAGCAAAGCACAAGACCACCATTTATTTAATTGATATGCCACTTTTCCTTGCCCCTTTTATTTTCACAACAACCCTGTGAGGTAGACTAGGCTGAGAGACTAGACTGACTCACGTTCACCCAGTCCGCTTCGTGGCCGAGTGGTGATTTGAACCTTGATCTCCCCAGTTCTTGCCTGTGACACTTCTGTAAAACGACTCCTGCTATTGCACCACTACTTGGAGAACTGATGGACGCTTCCTGTGATGTCCAAATTGGGGATCCCGGCTGGCTTCTCCCTAACAAGACAGGGCTTACAGGGCAGCAACAAGACACTGTCTGAGGCCAGCTAGTGATTCAGACTTTCTGGGGAGAACAAAAGTGCAATGCTGGGTTCAGATGTCACAGGAAGCCAAGGTTCATTGCACTTTCTGGTTTGTTGCTCAGAAGCAGGAGGGCCGCAGCAGGTGCCCCTGTGTGCTCCTCTTTCCTGGTAAGGTGGCAACCCCGGCAGCTTTTCTCATTTGCTGGAATAAGAGGCTGAACCCGCACACTCTGCTTGCAAATTGTGCACCTTGAATCCGCCGTGTCCTTGGGATTATTTGAAGTCCTCCCTCTCTCTGCAGACAGAGCAAAAACCAGAGCAAGCTTTGCGTCCTGATCCTGGGCATCGTTACCAAGAGGGAAGTCCTGTTGACTGAAGGAGTTCTTTGCTCCAGGGAGGTGGACTTGAGGCGGAGCTCAGGGCCTGTTTCCGAGAATGGCAGATTGAGCAGCTGCTTAAAGCAGGCTCTAGACCAGTGGTGGCCAAACTTGGCCCTCCAGCTGTTTTGGGACTACAACTCCTATCATCCCTAGCTAACAGGACCAGTGGTCAGGGCTGATGGGAATTGTAGTCCCAAAACAGCTGGAGGGCCAAGTTTGGCCACCACTGCTCTAGACCAGCGGTTCTCCACCTGTGGGTCCCCAGATGTTGTTGGACTGCAACTCCCATCATCCCTGAGCTCTGGCCTTGCTAGCTAGGGGTGATGGGAGTTGTAGTCCAACAACATCTGGGGACCCACAGGTGGAGAAAGGCTGCTCTAGACTTTGTGCTGGTCGGGCTGCCAGGATCCTGCAAGAGCATCTGCAAGTGGCTATTTGGGCAAGGCGTTGAGGCCCAAGCAGAAAGAGGGTGCCCCCCTTACTGCCGGTAAGGGATGGATTCCTGCTGCTGCTTTGGCAAGAGGGTCACCCTCCCCCTCCATTGCATCTTGAGGGGAGTAGGCGCTGGATCCCCTGAGGAGATGGAGGTGCTGACAGCAGCAAGCTCTTCATGGCAGCAGGAGGAGAGCAGCTTCCCTGGAGAGAAGGCGGCTTTTGCCGGGCTCAGCTGGGATTCTGCAGAGGGCTGTTGTGGGGAAAGGGAGAGGCACATGTTGTTGATCCAGGCTGGCTGGTGAAGAAGAGAAGGCTCATGTGAGCAGCTGTGCTGAAGCACAGGGCTGCACCTTGGGCCGCGTGTGGCCTCTGAGGCTGGTGGTGGGCTCAGCTTGGAGGTCCAGGGCAGGCTCATGCTGGTCCCCAGAAGCGAGAGCTTCCTGGCAGGCATGTGGGAAGATGCTCCCCCCTTTCCAGCATTGCTTTCAAAGTTACAAGTGTGGAAACAGGAGCGTTTTTGCAGCTTCTGCCCCCGCAGGAATGTCCGGCCTGCTACACACGGGGCTGGTGATGTTGCTTGCCCTTTGAGAGTGTGTGGCGCAGCACATTTGCCAGCTGGGCAGGACAGGCAAGTCCTGGAGAAATCGAGGGAGGGAAGGGGGCAGGTGCCAGCCCAGTGGGGGGTCAAGTGGGAGGGGGAAGGGAGGGAAAGAGGGGTCTAGTTCTGGGAATTGGAGGGGGGGAATTCCCAGCCACCCTTTGCTCTTTGTTTCCCGCAGGTAGACAGGCTTCCCTCTGGCTCTGCCTTGAGCTCCCCCCAAGGGGTGGGGTGGGGACTGGGAGCAGATGGAGGCTCTTCTTCCCCAGGAGGATCACGTTGGCAGCTAAGGAGGCAGCTGTCGTGCTCCCAAGGTGAGGGCTGGTCTCAAGAGGCCTCTTGTGTCACGAGGAGCCAGCCAGGCATTGAGGCTGCCAGAGGACAGCGGTCAGATTATGAACTGGAGCTGATGGGGCTGTCACTTGTGAGCCAGTGTGGTGTAGTGGTTTAGAGCGGTGGACTCATAATCTGGGGAACCGGGTTCGTGTCTCCGCTCCTCCACATGCAGCTGCTGGGGGACCTTGGGCTAGTCATATTTCTTTGAAGTCTCTCAGCCCCACTCACCCCACAGAGTGTTTGTTGTGGGGGAGGAAGGGAAAGGAGAATGTCAGCCGCTTTGAGACTCCTGAAGGGGAGTGATAAAGCAGGATATAAAATCCAAACTCTTTTACTTGCCAGGATAAAACTAATGTGGAGCAGCTTCCAGTGCATTTGCAGGCTCAGGTTGGGGGGATGGTTTTGGCCCATGAAGCCCTCTGCCGCTTGAGATCAGGAGGACCCCTTGCACCACCCTGATCCCACCCCAGTCTTTAAAGTATTCCTCAGAAGGCCCTCTCCAGGCTCTTCCTCCTCCCAGTCAACATCCCTTCAGAAGGGAGGAGTTCAGTGCTTGAAAATCGTGGTCCCTTGGCTCAGATATCTTAGTACGTGGGGCGGAATAGGGGTGCCTTGGAAGGGAAGGGCCCTAATATTGCCTTGGGGTGCTCTTCCCACTGTGGCTCAGCTGGTGCCCAGACTCTGGACCTGAGGCACAAGGCTAACATGTTTTTTGTCCTCTTGTGAGCGTTTAATTAGGTCACTCCGTGATCTTTTGCTCCTGGGCTGCTCTCTTCCAGCTGCGTTTCATAGATTGCCTGCCTGCTTTTGCTGCTGCTTTTGTTGACTGACTTCTTCGCTGTTTCACACATAGTGCCCAGCCACGGCTTGGCAGACCAAGAACCTGCCACTGCAAGTTGCTTCTTTCCCCCAAGTTTGTTCTGTTTACAGCTCCTCTTGCTCCGTGTCAAGGAAGAGTGTTGGGCTTGCACATGACATCAAGCCACAGTTGACAGAAACCATGGTTGTGAGCCGACAACAAACCATGGTTAAGCCACTGGGCAGGGTTTGGGTGACCAAGCAAACCAGAGGTGAAATGAACCATGGCTTGGCGTCATCTGCAAACAAGGCTTGTTTTGAATCTGTCATGGTTCATCACCTTGAAAATTCCTTAAGAGCTGGAAGACGGGGTGTGCATTTTAGCATACATTTAGGACCATCCTCAACCTGACCGGGGGGGGGGATCTTCATGCTAGACTGTGTGGCACTCAGGCAGCCGCCAAGACACGGTGGAGTCCTTGTTTTCTTCCCTTACATAGGGACCCGGAAGTATCTGATGAAAGATTGCATTAGGTTCCAGTTAAACAGCTCAGATTTCCTCCAACGCCCTGCCTTAGCCAGAGCTGAGTAGCACACCCGGTGCGGGGAGAGGCAGGAGGAGGACGTTTGACCAGCAGGATTAGGCCAGCCTTGCCTGGTGGCCTTGAACCGTTCCAGTGTCCCTCCTGGGTGTCACTGCCCCACCTGGGCCCTGGCATCCCTGTGGGCAAAAGGCCGACTCAGAGCTGAACAGAAAGCAGCCCTGCCCTCTGAACTGGGCACCTGGCCCTGGACTGAATCCAGGCTGTTCCCAGTCCCATTCCCTCCACCTCTGATCCAAGGTAGATGAGATGTTAGCTGCCTGGCATCTGAGTTTGGCAAGTCAGAATGGGGCATAGCAAATGGGATGGGGGCATTTAACCCTCCCTTCTGTGTCCCTGGCTGGAAATCACCCAAGGGAATTGTTCCTTCTGGCGGGGGGGGGGCGGGTCTAGTGGCCTCGATCCTGATTCTTTCTCTCCTGCTCCACATTATTTTAAACACCCAAACAAAGCTTGCTCATTGAATGCCAGCCCCAGCCTGGCTATCTCTGTGTGTGGAGGAGCTGATCTTTCTGCCATGACTCTGATGCTCTTATGAGTCACCTGCTGCTCTGGAGTAACTAAAACTATTAGTACTAATTGGTCGTTCAGTTCTCTCTCCCTCTCCCTCCCTCCTTTCCATTTGGCACCATGAAGAGTTTTCTGGTGGCGGCGTCAGGGAAGGAGGGGCTGGTCACTTCTGTCTCTTCCACCCCTTAGGGTGCTGCCCTGTTGCGGTTCCTATGGGAGCCCATCTCTAGATAGAGACAATGGCCTTGTGGGGAAGAGGGGGCGGCCGAGTGACCTGGCAGCCTTGGAAGTGGCTATCTGATGCGCAGGGAGGCTTGCAACAGTCCAGAGGGGCCCAGAATGACAGCTTGAGGGGGGGGCATGGCTGCAGGATGCAGAGGACTGTCCAGACTTTATCTATCTCTCAAGGAGGAGATGAGGAACTGCCCAGGGAATCTGTTTGGGGTACTGTGGAGGCATGAGGATAGGTCCTTCGGGATCCCTGGATTGCCCCCTGGCCAAGCTCATTTTGGGAAAGCCGACAGGACTTTAATTCAGAAAGTACATTGGGAAGAGTTTAGAACCAGTTGCTAATCTCTGCACCAGCTGCTAATCTCCAGGAACAATTACTCTGTGGTTACTTGTTCTGGTGAATTGGGGAAGACAGACGGTTGTGAAAAGTCTTTGCACTGGAAGCAAGTGGGGCATTTCCCCTTGACAGCCACCTGATGAGGCCCAGAAGCAGCCTGCAAAAAGGAGGACAGGGTCCAACCCCACTCCTGGAAATAACCTTTGGGCAATCGCAGGTCCACTAGGAAGAGGCCCCAGCTTCCTTTTTCGCAAGGCATAAAGATCTGGACCCCTCACCGATTGCATGGAGTCTGGACTTGAATGAGCGAAGGAGAAGGTGCCCCAGGGTGAAGAGCTTGGTGTTTTGGGATTCTTCTTGGGCGCTGAACTGCAGGCGCCAGTTGCTGTGATTCTGAGGGTCTCCGACAGGGAGAAGTGTGTGAGAGCAGAGCATCTTGGCGGAGGAGAATCTAGCAGAAGAAGACACCCTGAACTGCAGAACCAAAGGAGGGCTCCTGGAGTAGTTGTGCACAGGGATACCAAGAAAAGACGATGGAGAGATCCGGTCTCCTGTTTTATTAAAGAAAGGGGTAGACTCACAGCAAGTCTCCCAGCCTTTGCAGACGCAGGATGGACACCACAGCAAGGAGACTTTGGTTTGCCTGCACCCTAGAAAATGTTCACACATTCTTTATACACAAAGCAGTATCTGTCCCTCTGCCTAGGACTCCCCACCGGAGGGCAGAGGTGGTAATAGCCAAACCTTACCCTTAGCTCCCGTTTCTGGGCTCAGAGCCCAGCACCGCAAAGCCCACAGATAAGGGGAACATCCAAGCCAGTCAATTAGCCTGGATCAAAGCAAGCAAATATAAGCATATAGGAGCCCACTGCTACAACCACTACCAGTTAACTGTGGGGTTATCTTGACTACCAGCACGGCGTTAGGGAAGCTTTCAGAACAGCTCAGCTTTGGTTCAACACCCTGGATGAGGCCCACCTTGTCCAGCCTCCTGTTTTCACACTGGCCAAACAGATGCCTGTGGGAAACGCACAGGTCAGATTCGAACACAAGCCCCCTCCCCTCTTGCGGCTTCCAGGAATGGCTATTTGGAAGCATGTGCTGTTCCCAACTGTGGAGACAGAGCAGAGCTGTCCTGGCTAGTAGTCACTGATGGCCTCCTTTGCCCAATCCTCTTTGGAAGCCGTCTCACTTGGTGGTATCCCTGCCTCCTGGGGGAGGGAGTTCCGCAGGTGAACTCTGCACTGTATGAAGAAGGACTTTCTTTGGTCTGTCCAGAATCTTCCCAGATGCCACGGCCAGTTCAGGACACAGACCCTGACTTTAAGGAGCCCAGAAGAGTTTCCTGCAGCCGTTTCTTGCACTGATGACTTCAACACACCCTGTTTTGATGAGCTTCACATCCTCCCCTTTGTCTCCCTTCCTGTGCTCCTCGTGAGAGTGCCCCCAAGGAGGCAGAGCGGGGGGTTGGTGGGGGTCCGGGGCCTGCAAGAGCGCTTTGGCCCCCAGCCACCAGGAAGGAAGCCTGCTGAGAACGAAGAGGGGTGGCTGTTGGTGGCTGCTATGGCAACAGAGGCAGGAAGAGAACCCGGCCTCCTTGGCAGCAGTTGGGGGCTGCTCCTGCTGGCTGCCGGGGAGGGTGTGGCTGCCTTGGTCCTGGCCTGCTGGGCGCGCTCTGCATGTGCCAGGCGGGCAGGAGGAGGGCCTGGCTGCCGGAGAAAGCTGCTGCCGGGTGGGGTGAGAAGGGCCTTTGTGGAAGTGGGGGCTGGGCCAACGTGGCAGAAGAGCCCCTCCCTCCAGTTGCCTTCTGCTTGGTGGTTAAGAGCATGGGCACAGAGCCCAAAGACCCTCTTGGCCCCAGGTTGCAAACGCCCAGCTATGGAGCTGGGCAGGGCAAGGGGGTCTTGGATGCCCCTCTGGGCCCAGAGGGAGCCAGGCTGGTTACGCTGCCAAGGGTTTGTGTGTGTGCCCAGAGGGTCTCTGGTGTGGAGACCACCCCCTCGCGTGCTTGGCCAGGAGAAGGCTGCTCCCCAGGGAGCTGAACAGGGCCAGGCAGGGCCAGCGCCTTCTCCTCCTGCCGCTTGGCATCTTGAGAGCCTCCTGGAGGGCGGGTGTGGGGCTGGAGCCAGGGGCGCAGGGGCTGACCCGCCTAGCTGGGGCTGAACTGGGGGGTCACTTTAGAGCTCACCTCTCCCCTTGGCGTCCTGCTTGTCTTCCAGGGAGCTCAAAGCAGCCTGCACGGTCTCCCCTCCCCACGTTCCCCTCTCAGCAGCCCTGCAAGGTAGGTGAGCGTGACCTGGGCCTTGCCAGCCCTGCTCCTGCGCTCTGACCATGAGCCAGTTGGGTTGTTCAATGGGTTGTTCTCTGCTTTCCAGCTGATTCTGAGGGCTGCCTTGGGAGACCAGCCCCTCCTTGGAGACCCTCTTCCTCCTCCCCTGGCAAGGAGATCTGGGAGCAGAGCAGCAGCAGCAGCAGGAGGACCCCCGGCTCCTGCCAGGCCAGGCCTTGCTTGAACCGCCGCTTGCTTGTAACTTTGGGAGACCAAACCCCAGAGGGCGGATGAAGACCCAAGTGTGGGTCACGCCGCCACCCGTTTTATTCTTGTCTTGGGAGGGGGCTGGTTAAAAAGAGGACAGCGGAGAAGTGGGTGGGAGCCAGGTGTGAACTGGGGTGCAGTTCTGCTGCTCATGGCTTTTCAGTCTTCCTCCCGTGGTGGCGGTGTGTGTGTGTGTGTGTCCTCCAGGGAGGGCTGTGTGTTTTTGTGGCTGCTGCATAGTTGCCAGTGCCACCCTGCCCCCTCCCCATTTACTTATAAGCTATGAAGAAGGGGGGGGAGTTATTTATTTATTGCATTTCTCTCCCACCTTTTTCTCCAAGGATCTCAAGGTGGGACACACAGTTCTTTTCATTTAACCCCCACAACCACCCCGTGGGACAGGGTTAGGCTGAGAGGCAGGGACTGGCCCAAGTTCACTGGGTAAAGGACAAAATTATCCTCATTATTATTACTCTCTTACTTCCAACTGGGAAATGGGATTGCCTCCAGCTGCCTCTTGACCTTTTTTCTTCCTGATACTTCCACTTCCTTAATTCTCCGTGGAGTGTGAATCACTTGTGCTTCCCCCTCCCAGCTGAGGGGGCCCTGGAAGGGCTCCTTCATGTTTGGCCCTTTCTTGGATGCTGCCTCTTCTCTCCCTCTGACTTCACATTCCTGCAGCTCCCCCTAGAAGTTGCTTCCTCATCCGCCAGTGATTCCCATTCAGTTTGTGAACAGTTCTTACCTGAAGCCCTTTCCCCAAATGGCCAGCTGTTTACAGCACAGTTTGGGAATAGCTTTTCTTCTTCATATTGAAACGTGTCCCCTCTGCCCCTGGCACTTTACAGCGCGCACCCCCCCCCTCGAATAGTCTATTTAAAAAGGAGCATATGAAAAAGTTAGGACAGCAGATAGAAAGTTAGCAGGGGGGCGTGTAATGAAATCCAAACTGCCAGGCCAAAGGACTGTTTGAGTAAAATGGTCTAATGGATGACTCACCGTCCCTGAGGGGAAGGCTCAGCAGATTTCTTGGGGCAGGCAGTTCCACAGGTGCAGTGCTGAAAACGCCACTGTGCACCTTCTCAGCCAGAGCATCTTGGGTGGGCATGTGGTGGCGAAGGCGCCAGTCGTATCTCGGTTGCATCGCTGCAGGCTCCCTTGGGAGGAGACTCTGGAAGCTTCAGGCAGCGCAGAATTCTGCCCCCAGGATGTTGGCCTGAGCTGGGTCTGAGGAGCTGGCGACTTCCTTACTGCTCTGTCCCCAACCGTGCCAGATTCGCCTTTGGCAGCTGCCTCCTTCTGGCCTGCCCAGTTGACAAGCTGCTCCCTGCTCCTTCGGGGGCTTTTCCAAGGGTGCTGAGGCTGCTTTCTCTTGCTGCTCCTGCTCCTGGGCTGCTCCCCTTCTCTCCCTGCTCTCTGTAAGTGCTTTTTCATTGCTCCTTGTGGTGCTTTGCTGGCTGTTTGTTAGCCATCCTGGGGAGAAGAGAGTTTGAAACAGAAACAAATCAGATCTGAGCAGACAGGATCTTGTGGGAGAGACGGTTAGTTATGTCCCCTGGTTCTGTGCAGCCAGCACTTTGAACTGGGCCCAGAAATGAACCAGATGCCGATACTCGGAGAGGAAAGCGCTGCATGCTCTAAAAATCTGTATGACTTTGGAAGAACCGGGCAAATGTAGGTTTGATGCCAGGGGTGGGGCCTTGAGGTCCCTGAGCATCTTGGACATTTCTGGCCCTTCAGTATCCCTGTTCCAAGTGCTGGTGCTGAGTGCCAGGTGATCAGAACATCTGCCTCCACACCACCCAACCCACATGCTCAGATCAGTGCTGGAGGCCCTGCTTGTCGCCCCCCAATGACGTGCATTAGAGACAGGGCCTTCTCTGCAGTGGCCTCTCACTTAAGATGTTCAGTTTTCCCCTTCAGTTGCCGTGTTTTAGGTGGGATTGAAACCCCACCTGTGCTGAGTGGCTTTTAACGGTTGCACCTGATGAACGATGTCGTTCTGGAAATGTTTCTTATAGGGCTGGACTGTATTTCACTGGATTGATGGGCTGGTGGGGTTTTGTATTTTACAGCTGTAGTTAACCGGTATTATTTCCCTGGGAAGGTGGTGGAGTCTCTTTCCTGGGAGGTTTTGAGCAGAGGCTGGATGGCCCCCTGCCAAGGGTGTTTTAGCTGAGATTCCTGCATGGCAAGGGGTTGGACTAGATGACCCTCGGGGGTCTCATGCAGCTCTACATTTAAATGAATCTGTGATAGAGACAAAGCTTTCTTCACCTCCTTGAGAAGCCTTGATCCAGAGAGGCAGCTTTTCCGTCTATACAGTGGTACCTCTGGATGCGAACGGGATCCGTTCCGGAGCCCCGTTTGCATCCAGAAGCGAACGCAACCCGTGTCCGCATGTCTGCGGGTCACGATTCACCACTTCCCCGCATGGCATCATTTTGACCATCTGCACATGTGCGAGCGGGGAAACCCAGAAGTAACGCTCTCTGTTACTTCCGGGTCGCCGCAGCGCGCAACCCGAAAATACTTATCCCGAAGTTACTTCAACCCGAGGTATGACTGTAAGTAGCGATAGCAGCCGTCCGTAGGCTTGAGAAAGGACGCGGGGGGGGGTCTGGTCAAAGGTCAAAGTCCTGAGCTGGATTTTGTGGCCAGGGGCTGCGTCTTGGAAGGGGGTAGGCTCTGCTCAGAACCTTGTTCCTCCCCTGGCTTTAATTTCCCCAGGTCTTTTCCGCCCTCTCCATTCTGCCCTCTGCCCTCTCACACCTGTCCTTGTAAAGAAAGCGCACCAAATTATGTGAAAAACAGGCTCTTAGATTGTGGGAATATACGTGAGCGTACTGTTTGGTTTGCACAGGGTGAGACTTCTGGGCAGAAGGGGAGGGCGTTCCCCCGGACCCCTGCTGAATCTCGGGTGGGCTGCTTGTGGCTGGGGAGGGTGGTCTCCCTCTGCGCTGCTTGAAGTTGCCAATCCTCTCTCTCCCCCCTCTGCAGCCGCGAAGTGGTGGGAGACCCGGCCGAGATGTCGCATGAGAAGAGCTTCCTGGTGTCTGGAGACCCCTTCCCTGGGCAGCAGCCGCCGGCCCCACCTGGCTATGCCCAGCAGCCCTACCCAGTGGCTCCCTACCCGCAGCCCCAGCCGGTGGCATACGGCCAGCCTGGATACCCGCAGGGCGCCTACCCGGTTGCGGCACCCTACCCACAAGCGGCACCCTACCCTCAAGCACCCTACCCTCAGGCACCCTACCCCAGGCGCCCTACCCACAAGGGCCCTACCCACAGGGGCCCTACGCCCAGCCGCATCCGGGAGTCGCCGTGGACCCAGACTGTAAGTAGGCCGCTTTCCTGCCCTGCTGCAATGGTTGGGGGGCAGGAAGGGGGGCTGTGGGGTCTCTGCTGGCGTGGCAGAAGAGCTGCTCCTGTGAGCCGGGGGGCAAGACCACCTGGCCCTTGCAGGCGGGGAGGACTCTCCTGCCTTGTGGCTGCTTCCGTGGGGAGCTGGGCTGCCCCCGAGGAGTGTTCCCTGGGGGGCGCTGCTCTGTGGCCCCCTCCTCAGTCTCCTCTCCTCTTCTCTTGCTGCACTTGTGCCCCCCAGCTGGAGCGAGGCGCCCTGTTTATGTGGTATGGAGAGGAGGCACTGCAGACTCTAGGATTGGTGAGCGCCCTCATCACCCCTGCCACGGGCTGGGTGAGGGGGCAGGAGGAGGAGGAGGGGGAGCTGCTGCTGCTGCTCCCTCTGGAATCTGTAGGGAGAGCCGCCGGGTGGGGAGCCCCTGCCTGACTGGCTGCGCTGCTTCTCGTCCCCAGCGCCCGTGCACAGCAACTACCATGAGGACGGGCCGCCCTCCTACTATGACAACCCGGATTTCCCCCCCACCAACTGGGAGGACAAGACCATCCGCCAGGCCTTCATTCGCAAGGTGAGTTGGGCTGTGGGTGTGCAGGGGCCGTGGGGCTCCTGCCCTTCTCCCTCCTTCTGCCTCTGGCCCTGGCAGTGGGGTGCAGTCAGTGTGGTGTAGGGGTTCAGAGCGGTGGACTCGTAATCTGGGGAACCGGGTTCGCGTCTCCGCTCCTCCACCTGCAGCTGCTGGGTGACCTTGGGCCAGTCCCACTTCTCTGAAGTCTCTCAGCCCCACTCACCTCACAGAGTGTTTGTTGTGGGGGAGGAAGGGAAAGGAGAATGTTGGCCGCTTTGAGACTCCTTAGGGGAGTGATAAAGCGGGATATCAAACCCAAACTCTTCTTCTTCAGTCCAGTCCAAGTGTGGCAGGAAGCCCTGGAAGTGCTGTGGCTGCTGGTGGAGGGGGGGGGAGGGGCTGGCAGAGCGCAGGCCCTCGTTGGCAGGGAAGGGTCAGAAGAAGAAGAAGAGTTTGGATTTGATATCCCGCCTTTCACTCCCTTTAAGGAGCTTCCCTGAGAAGCTGGATCCGATAATGTTTGGGGTTTCTTTGCATGCCACTTTCCCCTAGTTAAAACTGTGATCAAGGCAGCTCACAACATGAAGAGAGTCACATAATTCCAAAAACCGAACAATAATAGGCAATGAATAAAAGCATATCACAACATACACAGCCAAGTCATTACTGCTGACATCCATCTGTCTCGGGAGACACTGGAGGAGCACACCTTTGGGGGGGATGTCACTCCGTTGGAGACCGATACGGGAGACGTGGTTTGCTGCATCTGGGGCAGAGGAAGACGCCTGGTTGTTGCACTGATGCCGATGCCAGGGGGCGTTTCTTCTCTCTGCGCTCCCCCCAGCGGCCATTCCTCCTCTGATCAGTGCTGTGGATGCAGGATCTGGCTGCCTCCAGGCACTGCGCTCGTCTGCAAAGGATTCTCACAGGGCGGAGCTGGTGGTGCTGCCAGCCTTCATTTGAGACACAAGGTCTAAAACTAATACCAAAAATGGAAAACGAGCCAGGTCCCAACCAAAGAAGAACGGCAACTTAAGTTGACAGAATATGCACAACTTGCAGACTTAACATATAGAATAAGAGAAGAAGAACATACATTTAAAGAAGATTGGGAAACGTTTGTTGAATATATGGGAACTAACTGTGTACAGCTGAAAACGCTGGCAGGGTTAAGATAAATTCAACAGTGTAAATAAGTTTTGATGGATGCCATAATAAGGGAGCACTGAATGGTGTAGTTTTTGTAAAATATGCAGGGATTTATTATATGTAAAATAAACCATGGAAAGAGAAGAAGGGAAGTCATTGATATCTTCAGGGTGTAAAATTAGTATTTTAAGTTGCAAAACAGAAAATTTAATTAAAAAATTATATATACACACATGCAGCCTAGGACCCACGTACCTACAGGACCGCCTCTCCTGGTATGTCCGCAGAGGACCTTAAGGTCCACAAATGACAACACTTTGGGGGTTCCAAGTCGCAAGTTGGTTAGATTGGTCTCAACCAGGGCCAGGGCCTTTTCGGTACTGGCCCCGACTTGGTGGAACGCTCTGTCACAAGAGACCAGGGCCCTGCGGGACTTGACATCTTTCCGCAGGGCCTGCAAGACAGAGCTGTTCCGTCTGGCCTTTGGTATGGACTCAGTCTGACCTTTATGTTTTCCCTCCCCTTATGGTCTTGATCTATGGGCTACTATTAAAATGAGGCTGCATTTTAAATTGTATTTTAACCTGTATTTTAAATTGGTTCCCCCCCCCATTAAGTTTTTATTGTAATTTTACTGGTGTGTGCCACCCTGAGCCTGGCTCTGGCTGGGGAGGGCAGGGTATAAATCTAAATTTATTATTATTATTAATAATCTATCTAATACCAGAAATCAGTATCAATAACAGCAAAATTAACATCTCCAATATTAAATCTCGACACCAGCAGAAGCCCCTGAGCAATGACCGCAGGTGCTCCATGCAGTCCAGCTCCCTGCCTCCCGCAAGGGGCAGGAGGCACTGAAGCAGATGCTGCTGCCAGGGGGGGGGGCACCACCATGTTTGGGGCTTGAGCGCTGCCTGCTCTGCCCCCCTGAGAGGCTCTGGCTGGCGTGACGGAGGCTGCCTTTGTCCCCCTGCAGGTGTTCCTGGTGCTGACCATCCAGCTGTCGGTGACCTTTGCCTTTGTGGCCATCTTCACCTTTGTGAAGGGCGTGAAGGGCTTTGTGCGGAAGAATGTCTGGACCTACTACGTCTCCTACGTCTTCTTCTTCATCTCCCTCATCGTCCTCAGCTGCTGTGGGGAGTTCCGGCGCAAGCACCCCTGGAACCTCGTGGCCATGGTAAGTGGGCAGCGGGCAGGGGGTGCGTGGCCTCGGGGGGGGGGCAGCAGCTGCCATTGATTGAATTCTGAGTTTAAAAAGTCTTAGAAGCCTGCCGTGGCCTAGCTAGGCAGGCAGGCAGGCAGCAGAGATGGCTGCCCCTGGACTCAGATATGGGGGGATGGGGGGCCTGGATTGAGGCTCACTGCTGAAGGCACCTGCCTCTCCTCCTCCTCCTCAGTCCATCCTGACCCTGAGCCTCTCCTACATGGTGGGCATGATTGCCAGCTTCTACGACACGGACGCCGTCATCATGGCCGTGGGCATCACGACCGTCGTCTGCTTCACTGTCGTCATCTTCTCCCTGCAGGTTGGTGTGTCTGCTCTGCCCCCCTTCCCTGGGGGGGGGGATGACAACAAGAGGCATTGTTTCTCCCAGTGTGAGCGACTGGGTTGCCCAGAAGTGCACCTTGGGCTGTTGTTGGGTTGGCATCCGGGGCCTTTGCTCTTCTGGATGGTGGGTGGGTGGGGATGGCAGAATTGGCACCCAAGAGATTTCAGGCAGCGACGGCTGCGCAGGGACTCCTTTCCTGGGGCTCTGCTTTGCTCCCTACATCTCTTGACCCAATGGCTGCTTGGTGCAGAATAAGACCCTGCAAGGCAGGCTGAAGGGCCACAGGTCTCTGGCAGAGTGTGCTGGTTCCCCTGCTTGCCACCCTTGCCCAGGCTGCCAGGCCGCAAGGTCCTGCACTGGCCCCTTGAGGCAAACGGGCCCGTGAAGAGATGGCGCTGGGGGCCCTGGCATGTGGGGCAGGGGGCCTGGGCTGTGGGGTGCTGCCTGACCTCTGTCCTGGGGCTCCTCTCCTCGTCTGCAGACCAAGTACGACTTCACCTCGTGCCGAGGGGTGCTGATCGTCTGCCTGGTGGTCCTGTTCATCTTCGCCATCCTTTGCATCTTCATCCGGAACCGCATCCTGCAGATTGTCTATGCCTCCCTGGGCGCCCTCCTCTTCACCTGCGTGAGTCTCCCCGCGGGCCCCGAGATCCACCGGCCGGGCAGAAGGGCGCTGAGAATTAAGGGGAAGGAAGGCGCCTCTGAGCCCCCCCTCCCTGTTCAGCCCAGGGATCAAAAGCCAATCTCTGTGCAAGGCCTTCTGCACAAAAGACAGCTCCTGGTTGTCCCCCCCCAGATTTAGAGGAGAGCTTGTTAGCTCTTGCAGTTGTCAGGTAACAGGTAGTCGGAGCCTGTTGTTGATCTGCTGCTGGCCACCCACCCAGAGATCTGCCAGCAGATCCTGATCTCCCCAGCCCTAAGTTAGAGTCCCTGCAGAGCCCCTCCCTCTCCACCCCCCTGTGCTGGTGGAAAGAGCACCTGCCCGGCCCCCTCCTTCCTTCCTAGGCAGCTGAGAGACCACCCCAGACCCAGCAGTGGAGCGGGTTCCAGAGGAAGCAAGCTGGGGGGCGTGGTGGGGCACAGCCCCTTTGGCTCTCCCGGGGGCTCTTGTGACCCACGTGACCTGCTTTCTCCTTGCAGTTCCTGGCCATGGACACCCAGATGATAATAGGGAACAAGCAGCTGGCCATCAGCCCGGAGGAATACATCTTTGCGGCCCTCAACCTTTACACGGACATTATCAACATCTTCCTCTACATCCTGGCCATCATTGGGCGCGCCAAGGAGTAGGCTGCCCTCTGACCCCTTCAGGGGCTAGTTCCTTCCAAGCCCTGTCTTTTGCTGTGGTTCTCCTCCCTTTTATTCCCACCCCGTGGGGTCTCCCCCGCCCCGGTTTTTGTTGTGTTCCTGCCCGTCCCTTGAGTTTGAGTTCTTTGCCCCTTCCCCCTCCCTGTCTTGTGCTTTTCTGGGGAAGGATACCTGAAAAGAAGGGGGAGTCCAAGGTAGCCAACGGGCCCCCCCTCTCGACCGGGGAGGCAGCACTCACCTCCAGCCTGCCGTACGCTGGTGTCAGTTTTTGGAAAGGAAAGGAAGGGCTCCTCTGCCCTGCGTCTCCCTGGGGCTGTGCAGAGTTCGGAAGAGGATGTAAATATGCTGTGCTTGTCTCTTTTGTATTTTGGTCTAGAAATGCTAATTTAATTTTGAGGAATGTCCTTGTCTTGGGCGTGCCACTCACAGCCGCTTCTTCCCGTGGGTACAGGGCTGTTCTGGGGCTCTGGACACACGCAAACCGCCCCCTGCCTCTTGGCTGGCAGCAAGGTTCCCCACCCCCCCTTGCCACCTTCCACCCCCACCCCTGAATGATGCTGATACGGGTGCCGCTTCCTGTCCTGCCCAGGCTGGCCTCCCACGTTGCTGGGCTCTCCTGGTCCAGCCACTGTGGGGGCTGAGTGCCTGGATGATGCCCATGTCCCGTTTTTACAAATATCGTCCAGAAAAGTAGGGGTGGCTTCTCCCCTCTAGCTCGGGGGGCAGAGACTGCTCAGCTGCCTTTTCTCAGGCTCCCCTTGGGGCGTGCGGGGAAGACGCCTTCCTTGCTCCTGGCCCTTTTCTACAGAGCTGTGTAGTCTCCTGACCCTTTTTGTCTGGGGACCCTGTACCCCATCCTTCCTTCTCCCCTTCTTCTCCCCCCTCCCTGCCCCCCGCAATCTGGCTGGCTTTAGGGGGGCCCTGCACTACTGCATGCTGAGCAGCCACTACTGTGCCCCCAGGGCCAGCCTCTGCACTCAACTGTAAAAATAGGATGTCCTAATAAAAGTGAGAATGTACCAGATATTGATAGTCCTCAGTTCTGTCTTTGGGGCTGGAGGGGAAAGGTTCTTTTCAGTGCTGGGGGGTGGAATGCCCCAGGGCCAACATCCCTGCAAGGAGGCTGCAAAGACCAGGAGCCTCTAGACTAAATCTCTGGGGCAGAACCTCTGCTGTATATTGAGGGGCTGCAATGAGCACAGGAATGCACACATCCTGCAGCTGTTGGCATGTTGACAGGCACCGGCGGCTGCTTGGGGAAGCCAGCTCAGAGTAATTTGATTTGCGTGAGACGTAATGTGGCGTGTCCAGGTGAATACAGCAAGTTTCGAAGCTGCAGCTCTGTAAAAGAGCTGTGCTGTTGTATTCACAAAGGGCTGCAACTCCAGCGCTCCTTGGAGGAAGCAGTGGCAGAAGAGGGCTGCCTTTCTCAAGGGCTCTGTTCCCCTTCCCCATCTCAGCATGGAATGCTTGCGCTGCGCCCACCCGCCCATTTCCTTGTATGGTTTATCACTGGCACCATCTTTTCCGCCAAATGTGAAGAAGCTCAGACTGTCATCCTCAAACACCAGCAAAAGAATTCTCGGTAGCTGGACATACAGACCTACAGTTTTACTTCAGTTTTTAAGCTCTGGTCTAGTATTGGCTAAACAGATTTTTAAGAACATATATATTCAGGGCAATTAGGCAGGATTTATGAAAAACCACAGGTTTAACATCAAATATCCAGAAACCTTTCAAAAACAATTCTCTAAAGTTAGAAGCCAGAAAGAATTTGATAGAATGGAACAAAAGTACTTATTTCAGGCACTGCAAAATCTAGAACTAGTGTCACATCTTGTGACATTTGAAGGGAGGAAATGACTATTTAAAGATTAACTTGGGTGCAGGCAATATAGCATTAGTATTTTTAAAATTCCAAGTGGTGGACACAAGTAAGGAACTTTGAAATTATCCAAGATTGCAAAGAGTTAATCAAACACTATCATTCTAAATGAATGCAACAAATAATAAAGTATCTGCCTAGATTGGAAAATTTGAATTTCTTCTGGGCTGGAAGGCCAGTTATAAAAATGAGCAAAATGCCACAGAACTTCCTTTCATTATTAAATATTGCACTTAGTCAGCAATTTCTTAAGAAATTGTAATTTTATTTACTTTCCCGGGGGGGGGGGAGCATAGCTTAACCTAAAAGACCCTTTACCAACAGTGATTAGTAGGAAGATTTGCATTCCCAAATGTAAAGTGTTAAATTACTACTCTTTGTTAAATTACTATGCATTGGGGCATTATATGAACATAGTTTGAGAACTCTTGCCATACAAAACAAATACGTTTATCAACTAAAATTGTCTGACATAATAGTAGGAAAGATCTTGCAATAATTAAATTCAGATCCCATTACTAGAGTCATTTGTAAGATTTGGAGAAAGTTTAGGAACAAGTTAATCCCAGGCTACCTGCTTCTTGCAGCAATCTTTTAGAATATGGAATGTGAGGGGAAAGACCAGTTAGTTGAAATGAAATTCTGGGAAAGAGATATGACTAAATTAAGGTCTGTGATGGAAGAAGAGTTAACATATTAAAAACGTATTTGATTTATATACCGCCCTGCACCCAGAGGTCTCAGGGTGGTTCACCAGCTGAAATGTGAGATTGATTGGAAATAACTGACTTTTTATGAAAAGCTTACAGATAAAGCATAACACATCTAGATTTCAGAGATGGCACGAGTTCTTGAATTATTGGTCTCAAATATTTATTGATTTATCCACCCATCCACCCTTTCCCCTCAAGTCCTTGACTGGGTTACAACCTTTTAAAATACACCACTGAAACAGTTTTGAAAACCTTGCAGATAAAAACAAAAACAAAAAACTGCAATCACAAAAAATTGGGTTGGTTAATTATGTGAATGATCAGAGAATTAATCCTCATGATGTAATTCAAAGCTAAAATGGGAAATAATCAAATTTATTGTATACCGACAGAGAAATGGAAAAATTCACTGCACAACTCTGGGCAGTAAATTTGAAAGTTGTTGTGTTTTGTTATTTAAAAAAACAAAGCTTTAACCAGATGGTATCTGACACTACTTGGATTAAGTTATAGCCAATACTCCGTGATCAATTGCAGAAAGGAAGGCATCTGAAACTATTTCATGTCATGTAAGACTGCCCAGTGCTTCAAGAACGTTTTTGAGAGCCTGCGTAGAGAAAGGGAATATTCTCTGACAGAAACTACTCAGATGTCTAGTTATTTATCTGATAGTACACATTTAATGTAAAGGTGTATATTTCTATTTTTTATAACATAACTGTTAACCTTGAGTCCCCGTGGGCTCACCACAAACTCTATTTATTATTGATTGCTCATGTTTACTTATTCTAAAATATATTAGCTCAATCAATATATTCTATTTATGTCTGTGTTTCAATCACTGTAAAATACTAATAAAATTGCTGGCACACGTGTGAGCGTTGGCGAAGGATGCTGCGTGTGGTCCTGACTTGGTTGGGGTGGCAGTTGCTGTTCCCCATGGAGGCCACATGGGGGCAGCTGGTGCCACATTCCCTGGGAGTTCAGTCTGTTCAGCAAAGGGGTTGGAGCTAAACGGACCGTCCAGTTTGTATCTACATTTGGAATGTAGTGCATCCGCCATATATTGTAGAGCTGGAAATGTGCAGAAAAAGACAATGAAAATGGACAAGTGGCTTTTGTTTATTTTATTTCACATTTATACACACATTGATTGCACCCCACCCCCCAAAAAACCCTCAAAGTGGTTGTTGTGGTGGTGGTGTTGTTAACTTATACCCTGCCCAAGACAGAATATAAAGAGTACAGCAAGACGTCAAACATTAAAAGCTTCCTGAAACACAGGTGCCTTCAGATGTCTACGAAAAGTCATATGATTGTTTATCTGTTTTGACTTCATCCGGGAGGGTGTTCCACAGGGCGGGCGCCACCACCGAGAAGGCCCTCTGGCTGGTTCCCTGTAACCTCACTTCTCGCAATGAGGGAACTGCCAGAAGGCCCTCGGAGCTGGACCTCGGGGTCTGGGCTGGACGATGGGGGTATACAGGTTGTTGTTGTTTAGTCTTTTGGTCGTGTCCGACTCTTCGTGACCCCATGGACCAGAGCACGCCAGGCACTCCTGTCTTCCACTGCCTCCCTGCAGTTTGGTCAGAGTACAGGTATACAGGGCCAAAGCCAGTCAACAGGGCCCAGGGAATTTCCTGGGTGATGGCGATGCCCGCCCTGCCTGCCCGCCTCTCTTCCCCTCCCCCACAGGGCTCCTAAGAGCTCCAGCACACTCGGGGCTGCTTGCATCACAATCGCCGCCCGTGTCATCCCTAGCGCCAGGCTACCTGGGCTGCCTGCTTGTCTCCCTGGCTAGCAGTGGCAAGGAGAGGGGATCCTATGGCAGCTTGAACACCTGGATGGCACCCTGACACCCTTCTGGGGCACTCCCAGGCAGCTCACTATCCCTGCACCAAGACATCTCGCAGGGGATGGCCATCTTCGCTCGTTATGACGACTTGAAAAAGGAGATTGATGCCCTCGTGGCGGAAAATGACGAGCTGAAGCACCTCATACAGATGCTCAAGGAGAACCAAGAGCTCAAGTCTATCCTACGGAACCAGTACAATGAAACCAACTTGATCCCCAAGTTTGAATCTACCCGGATTGATGCCACAAGTAAGTGCTACAGTTGATGGGGGGGCCTCCTGTGATGCAGGCTGGTCCCCCAGGCAAGATCTTACTCTGGAGAGCAGCTGGGGGGGGGGGGTTTCAGGCCTTAGGGGACACGGAGGAGCCCCAGAAGGTTGTCTGCAGAGGGGCACAATCCAAGGAGCAGGACTGCTTCTGGGATGCGGAAGAGGGGAGAGCACAAAATGTTTTCCCAAAACGAGGGTTAGCACCCCATCCCAAACAATCAGTGAAACTAGTGAAAGTTGTTAAAAACAAACAGAAGTTTATGTGGGAATATTGGCAGCTAAAGGGATTGTGGTTTGGGGAAATGTATTTATAATTTTTATTTCTAGTCTGCTCTTCCCCCTGGGGAAAGCCAAGTAAACAATTGACAATAAAAATGTAAAGTGAAGTGAATTAATCACCACCATAAAACTAGCAATAATCAAATAAAACAGGCACCGGAAGCAAAAATGAAGTATCCACCAGGCACACACACCCCCTTCCCCAAAGGTGGAATGTAGGAGAAGGGAGACGACTCCACAGCTGGGGGGCTGCTGGCCACTGCACCGAACCCCCTTCCTAGGAGAGCTTCATCTGCAGATCTTAAGTCACATTTCAGAAATGTGGGTCCCAAATCGCTAAGGGCTTCACAGGCTTGCGGCTGGGGACTCATCTTAACCTGCCTGTTCAACCCCACAGATCCGATCCTCAACAACGCCTTCCAGGACAGCCACAGCTGGGAGCAAGCCCGCTTCGCCCCCAACACCAACTTCAGGGTGACTGTACGCCGAAGGCTTCCAAGCGATAGCCCTTCTTCATCCATTTCTCCGGGGGCTGCAACGATGATAAGAAGATCCCCTCCTGGCCCACGGGTGTCCACGCCCCTCAACATGACGGACAGAGCAGCAGGACTGCAGGTCGTCCGGTTTGCTCCTGACACCACAACAGGTGAGAGCCCGTCTCGTCTCCAGGAACATGGCTAGCGGGTGGGGGCAGGGCTGGTGGCACGGGGCGAGTTGGTGTGTGTGCCAGGATGGGCCCTCTGCATGGCACCAGCAGCTCAAGTGGCTACTTGAGGTGGGGATCTTTTTAGGGGCACCAATGAAGCAGCATGCAATGCAAGACTCTCTTGCTGGGTTGCCATTCTGGTACTGAGCAGGGTCTACGGGGTCCTGGGTCTCAGCTGTGCAGGTCATCATCAAAATAAGCTTTACTGGACTAGCTAAAGGCCACAACGAAACCATACAAATCTATGAGGGAAACAAATATCTATATAACTATATATAGACAGCAGAGCCACTGCCTGAACCATCAAGATCATAACATGCAGGTGCTCGTTTTGATTGGGGACTCCGCAAAGCATAGAAGAGTTTCCTATTTAGGCCTCTGAATCTTACAATTCACTGCAATTTTGTCCAGGTTCTTCCTGATTTTTTTTGTCCCCAGCACAAAGAGGGCCACGTTATAAGTCATTGGAGCACTGGCATCCCTGAGCAGCCAGAGAGAGACAGCTTTCCTGGACAAAGGATCTAGAAAGCGTCTCCCAGGTTCTGAGTATAGTGGGCACTGGAATAAATCATGCTGGATGTTCTCCACCTGCGGTTGCCCAAATACAACATCTATCTGCGTACCGAACCCTATTATAACACCTGTCCAGGACAGCAGAGGACATTCCTTGGAAACGCAACTCAGTAAAGGCATATCCTCATGAATCTGGGGGAAGTTTAGACAGGGAGTTGGCTCTAAAACACAGTTTTTAAGAGTGAAAACCATGGGGAGCATTGGGAAGATTTGATCACTTGTAAATCCCATTGAGATTCTGTCCAGTAACACCCGTCCCTTCAGCTGCGCAGATCAAGGGAAGCGGGTGGCCATGAAGCAACTGGGCATTTTCTTGGGCATGCCCACATCTCCGCATGAAGCAGTGTTACAAGATGTGTGTTACCTCCATGTGTGTTCAGCGCTCATGTGCATTCCTACACTCACCACGAAGAGGTTTAGGACCTTTTGTAGAGCTGTAACGTGTGTTTTGTGTTTGTTATGAATATGCACTCACCCTTACCCTCATGCCCACTGACAAAAGGAATGAAGCAAGGTTGGTTTGTTACATGAAATGAGAGCTTACGAATGCTGCTTCGGGCAGCCAAGTCACCACATGAGCAGGCAGCAGCTCCTACAGCACATGCACACCTTGGTCTAGGAGTGAAAGAAGGATCCCCATTCAAAGCCTAAAGAGGGCAGGGCATTTGTCACACTAGAAGTGAAGCAGGAAAGCGAAGGAAGCAACGGCTGGTCCCTGAGGGCATGGAGTGACAAGGGGATCCAGGCTGGAGCTTGTGAGAACTAACCAAGCCTTGAAAACCTGGGGTTTAAGTATGGTTTTGAGCCACTTTTAGGTTATGGAGAGGGGAGGGGGTCTTTGGGATGAGTAATTCCTACAATACCTATATTCTATTGTTCTGTTGCTCGCTTCTTATTAAGTTCTGGCCTGCTTCCTAATTTGTTTACTTAATTGGGAGTAGAAGGGCTATGGCTCTAGTGAAAAATAACTAACTGGCTACCTTTGTTTCTTGAGCTCTAACTTTATGTATCATTGTCTACATGGAACCTTTTCACAGGTGATGAAAATGAAATTTTTGCTGGTGACCCCAGATTGCTGTGCTGATCTTTACATAAAAACTTAGGAGATCTGAAAGCCTTCCAGGGCATTAGAGATAAGAACTAGATCAGCATCAGGAAAGTTCGCTGAGGGGTATTTTCTATTAAGAATATTAAGAATCAGGTTTATGCCAACTGTGCTGATATCATGGTCTACATGAATAAACCACAGGAGAAGTTCAGATTGGCTCACACCATTTCAGCAGCACCTGGGAGAAGGCGCAGGAGCACAGAGGAACTCCTCCTCTAGAGAAGCTAGACTGGCTCCCTCCTTGTCCTGCTGGCAAAAAACTGTTGCACCTTTGAGCTCCAACAGTTTTTGAGAACTGACTTCTTTTAATGAGAGGGATGGTGCTATGCTGCTTTCATTGTGATTGTCTTTATGGTTTTTAATGGATCGTTGTGATTGTATGTTTTTAATGGGAATGATTTGGCAGGGATGTAATGACACTTGTAATGTGGATTATTTATGGTAATTATGGTTATATAATAGATGGATAATGGTAAAAGATGCAGCAAATTAAAACTTAAACATGGAACTCATGGAGGCAGGGAAGGAGATCTGAAGGTTCAAAAGAACTTTGCATTTTAATGTTTGATATTGTTGTTTTATATGTATAAAATTATCAAAAACCCAATAAAAATAGTTAACCACTATCTTGGAATAATTCCATGTTGATCTGTAAGCGTAAATAGGTTGGCAAGTGGTAATGCACACCATTCTGTATGCTTTTTCAAAATCTCAAACAGAAATCCCGCCAGAGCCAGGGACCTTGGCAAGTTTTAGTTGTGTGATTAGTTCTATAATTTCATCTGAGCTTACCAATGGCCAATTGGGTATATTTGAGGGAACAAGCTTGTCAGCATTAGATAGAAGACAAGGTGAATCATTAAATATTTTAATTTTTTAAATAAAGGAATTCACCTAGGTTTGAGGGGGAATAGCATATATATTTAGAAGGAAATTGGTGTTCAGATGGCCAGAAGTTATTTGCCAGGATTTATTATTTTTATTGCATTTATTAAATGTGGCCTCGGTCCTGTATACCTGAAGGAGCGTCTCCACCCCCATCGTTCAGCCCGGACACTGAGGTCCAGCTCCAAGGGTCTTCTGGTGGTTCCCGCACTGCAAGAAGCCAAGTTACAGTGAACCAGGCAGAGGGCCTTCTCGCTGGTGGCTCCCGCCCTGTGGAACGCCCTCCCGCCAGATGTCAAAGAGATAAATAATTACCTGACATTCAGAAGACATCTTAAGGCAGCCCTGTTCAGGGAAGTTTTTAATATGTAACGCTGTACTGTTTTTAACACTGATTGGGAGCCGCCCAGAGTGGCTGGGGAAACTCAGCCAGATGGGCAGGGTATAAATAATAAATTATTATTATTATTATTATTATTATTATTATTATTATTATTATTAATTTATTCTGATAGTATATTTTCTTTTTCTTAGCAATAAGATCATTATATAGCTTCCTACATATGAAATCACGCCTTCAGACTGCAGTGACCACCTAATCTTTTCAAAACGCCGTGGTCACCACCTAGTGCCCCTGCCCCCACATCTTGTTGCGGAAGGCAGATAACGGACAATCTGCGGGTGGCGCAGTGCAGCCCCCCCTACCCGGGGGGGGGGTCAGCAGGGCTAATTACCCACATATTAACCCGGAATTACTGGCATGACTGGGGGGTCCAATCTCTTGGGAGGCAGCCATATATCACAGCAGGAAACCGGAAGCCGACCACCTAATCTTTTCCAAAACACTATAGATTGTTTGTTCTGAATGGCCAGGCTTTGAGATTTTATTTGTTGGTCTGCACTGCAAAGTCGAAAGTAAATGGGAATTGCCACTTTTCTGTATGAGATCCAATAGAGAAGTTAATATTGGAACATAAATATAAAGAACATAGGACGCGGGTGGCCCTGTGGTCCAAACCACAGAGCCTCTTGAGCTTGCAGATAGTAAGGTAGGCGGTTTGAATCCCCGCGACGGAGTGAACTCCCGTTGCTCTTTCCCAGCTCCTGCCAGCATAACAGTTCAAAAGCATGCCAGTGCAAGTAGATGAATAGGTACTGCTGTGGAGGTGTCAGCTTGCCAGCTGCATGCGTTGCTGCACTCAGCAGAGAAAACACTCCCGGCAGCCAGCCATAAATTCCTTTCTTTATTTCCTTCTGACAAGATTACATGCAGAATAAACAAAGCAACCCGTCTCCCATAACGTGTTGCTCTAACTAGTTTCTCTTTTCCCTTTCCCTCGAGACCAACACAGCCAACGGCTCAGCCCCTTCCGTTTTCCCCTGTGACGTGGATCCCTCTCTCTCTGAAGCACCCCTTCCTCCCCAGACTCACTATCCTCTTCTCTGTCTTCTGAGGAGGACTCAGTACTGAGCAGTGGAGATCGTTCCCTGTATCCTCTGATTCTTTCCTCCCTCGCTGCCTGCAGTTCCCTGACATCCACCCCCTCCTCAAAGGCCCCCCTCACCTCCCTTTCCTGAGAAGAAGCCTCACCCAATGCATTCTCCTCATGCTTCTCAGGGGTAAATCCTAGGAAAATCTCCTCCTCTTCAGTATCATCAAAAATGTTACCCCAACCTCTAACACCTGGTGGACCCGGACACTCTTCACTCACTCCTCATCCCCACTGTGTTTCCTCTTGGTCCGAGGCTGAGAACCCTTTAAAATCCTCTTCATCATCCGTCAGCCCAAACGCCCTCTCAGCGAACCTCCCTGCGGGTTGTGGCTTATGGGGAAATAGCTCGTGGAAGTCCTCCACTACACCCTCCTCCGTGACCCAATCTGACGGCACCCATGTGTTATCCGAACTGGGAGCCCCCTCCCAAGCTACAAGATACTCCAGCTGATTACCCTTCCAACGCGAGTCCAATATTTCCTCTATCTGGTGTCCCCGCTCCCTTTCCTCGACTTCTGGCAGTGGCACCTCCCCTTCCCTTCTGCCCGGCCAGTAAGCCAACAATAGCAACCGGTGGAACACGGGATGAATTTTCATGCTTTCTGGCAGCCTCAACCTAAAGGCCACCAGGTTGACTTGCTGTATGATTTCAAAGGGACCCACCCTCCTGGGTTTGAGTTTCTTACAACCCCCTTTCCAAGGCAAGCCTTGCGTTGATAACCACACCTTATCCCCCACCCGGAGGGTTTCCCCTTCCCTCCGATGCTTGTCTGCTTGCCTCTTGTATACCTCCTTGGCCCTTTCCAAGTTCAACTTCAGTTGTTGAATTGCCTCCATTTCCTCCGCAAACTGTTCAGCGGCTGGCACACTCCACGATTCCT